GGAACGATGCAATACCCGAGAACTAACATACAAAATCCATCTAATAAGTCAACCGCCCACATCTCATCATCATACTCTTGTATTGCTGAAAAACACACCAAATGAACGCAGATCTTTGCGTATACAAAGATAATAATCGTTACAACTCTATGAATATCGATGAATTAATTAAAAACATAAAATAACCAAACGAACACTCAAACAAATAAAAGAAAGGCAGCCATGTGCATTATTCATTAATAACTATCATATCAAAACTTATAGATTGATTAAAAGATTTACAATTCCAAGAAATTCGCTTCAATTACCTATCACCACCAAAATATCAGTCAAAACAGATCGATCGCCGCTTCAAATCAACAAAATGCGAACAAAAACCATGACGACGACGTGAAAAAATACGAGTAAATGTATGACAACGAGTGGCTTGAGAACAGAATGAACAAAAAAATAACTAATACAAGATTGAAAAATGCTAATATCGCCGTAACTCAGCCCGAATTGTACTGGACGAACGGGGGGGGAGGGGGTGGAAGAGACAGAGGGAACCGGGGAATATAATGAAGTAAAAAAAACTGAAACAAGATATGATATAACCGAACAAGTGGATTATAATCTCTAAACAAAATCCTTTCCAGATACTCATCACCAGCAATTACGGAAGAACACAAACAGGCGACCAATAGTATTCAACACAAACAATAGGTCAACTGCTTTCAGCACCGTTTCATATCACACAGATGTTGATGATAAATTAATGGACTTCGTATGTAAATCGAACCAAAATCAAAGAATCACTCCTCATAACCAAAATTAACCAAACGCCCCATAGTAATGATATCCAAACGAACACTCTACCAAAACACAAAAAAAAACAGGTAATACATCAACAAAAACATTTCCAGATGATAAAATTATAATTTGCAAAACAAAACAAAACAAAACCCCAGCAAAAATCTCATTCCAAATCGATCAATCGTGACATTATCAATAATAATACTAATAACAATGGTAATGATAACGTGATAATAATCATGATTCACTTAAATAATAATAATAATAACAATTATCAAAAAAATTGGACGCTGCAGAGTAAAACAATAAAAGTAATAATCAAGTAATACAGTGGTTGTCATATTGTTGAATTGATGAGGTGTTTTTGGTCGACATTTACACTAATAACAACAATGATAATATAATCAACGTACAATTCAAGCACGCAAACACGCAACGTCACCTGCAAATTTGTGGAGAAACACTAGTGACCTGATGTGACTGACTAACTCACTGATTCACTCACCCACTTACGATGCACGTTCCTCATCGTAACCTCTGACTCTGACTCTAATTATTTCTCATTCGCTCTTCGATACACCTTAACTTCATCGCAAACTATTGACAATATATTATAATATATTTACACGATCAATTGTTCAAATCTGATGATGAAACAAGAAGAAGCACAAAAACTCAATTACAAAAATACACAAACAAATAAATACGCTACGCACAGACACATCATCATCACAAATTCGGCATATATTCAATTCACCACAATCATCAATCACCTTCATGCAATAACCACGCTATCGTCTTGCGGCTTATATATTCTATTCTCTGCATAATCACGTACACAACAAATATCGCTTTGAACCAACCACCAGTCGGTGTGAACAATTCCCTCTGAACCGTTGATTTGAAATCATTCTTCAAATCCATTCAATCGCATCCGTTTAGTTTAGCACCAAAAACATAAATAGACAATGAACACCATCGAATCCACTCCATTGAAATGTGCACTTTTGTATACCCAAATATATCTGTGGCAGCTGAATCCTGTTCAGTTTTGCGATATTGAAATCAACAAATAAGTAAAATGTCGAATGTAGCATTATTATCACCGTTATCATCAGATAAACGTGTCAACCAAATAAATCTGCAGTCAGCAATGAACAAACAATCAATTAAACGAAACCTGAAAGTATTAAATCAGTCAACATCACACAAATAAAAACCTCAATTCTCAATAAAATTTTTTCAGTTTCTAAGATTGTCCGATGATTTTTATTTATGATTTATTTATCTGAACCAAAGCATTCCACCGCTCACCGGCAAATAAATCAAAAACTACGATCTCACTACCTAAATAGAATCATCAAATCGAAAACGAAAAAAAAAACAACGTATGATTAAGACGAATCAAACACAAAATTATTTCCTGATCGTGAGTAATATTCACTAATAGTTCAATTGGAATAACTCTTTCAAAGAATTAACTTAAAAACAAAACATTCAATAATAGCAAACATTACATACAACGCTCACTGCCTATTGTCCAATTAACAAATCAAAATCAAAAAACCCCAAAACAACTCGATCGATCCCAAACACAAAACTGATAAAACTTACATATGAGAGTGAAGAGTGAATATTGATGATTGACTGCTTGCAAAACAACATAATTATAATATAGAATATGATATAATAACAGCAATAAAATAATAATATATCGATCAACAAGAGATCATAAAACTGCATATGAAAGCACTTCTCTGAGGCACCTGAAACAAACACCACTCTTTACATTCTTCAACAATTCACTCCACTCTGCCATCGAGTGCAAACAACCAATCAAACTATGATAATCAGTCCAGAACAAAGCCATCCAAAATCCTAGTTTTTACCATACAAGTCAGAACAATAGTGAAACAGTTAGAATAAAAATGTTACTTACACTCATAATAATACCTATCATGTTCGGGACTTTAGTTAAGGCAATAATAACAGTAACAATAAACAAATAAATAAATAAACAAAATATAAAAACAAAAAGTTAGAAAATAATGATAACAGTTAGAATAAAAATGTTATTTACACTCATAATAACACCTACCTATCTTGTTCAGGACTGTAATTAAAGCATTAACAATAACAATAAAGATAAATAAGTAAACAACTAAAAGATCAAAAATAATAATGTAAATGCACACGCACCTAAGCAACTGTAACTGGTTTTGATGATGAGGCGGATGCGGACGCAGATGCTGCCGCGGCAACAGAAGCGGTCGCATTCGCCATTGTGTTCTCTGCCTCAACACTATCATCAACCAGCTGGTGTTCGGCCACATACAATTTCGGATCCACTGACTGCAATCATCCACAACTCATTCATTACATCAAACCATAAAATAATCCCAATTACATTTCCACTATCAAATTTAAAATCACTCAAAATAAGTATCTAAAATGAATGTTACCTGAATGATCGAACACGCAAACAAATGTGTGATAAAATAAACAAGTAACAAATAGATCAAATAATAAAATAAAATAAAAATAGACCAAAATAAACGAGTGTGACAAACCTTAGGAATAGGTGCGATATGTGTTCTCAGTTCGGCTTCAATGCGTCGCAGTGTGAAGCGATCCTCGTAAGTGATGAGATTTATTGCAATACCCAAATGACCGAAACGACCCGAACTAAACAATACTGCCTCCATCACATCATTAACAAAACAAAACAAACAAANAAAACCTCACACTTCCATCGTTTTAAAATCTACTTTTGCATTTTACAAGCACATTCATTGAGTAGCACTTGCAAAAAGAACACGAAAGCAACAAAACCAACGAACGAACCGTCCAATACGATGAAGATATGTCTCGGCGTTACGTGGAAAATCGAAATTGATCACAACGTTAACCGCCTGAATGTCGATACCACGTGTCAACAAGTCCGAACACACCAAATTACGACAATTCCCTTGACGAAAATCGTGGAAGACACGATTACGATGGTTTTGCGCCATACGCGAGTGGATATAGTAACATGAATAACCAATCTCGGTGATCTTCTTTGCCAACAACTCGACGCGTTGTGTCGAATTACAGAATATTATCGACTGATTGATTTGTAGCTGAAAACGACACCACAACATCACTAACAAAATAATTAATCAATCACCTTTTCAATCTGATAAATTCTTCAAAATCAAAGCTATCCTACATCAACCTATAAGATTATATCCAACAAAACTTCTCCTATATTCATTCATTCTTACATGATGGAAATTCCTTTCGATTACACTCCAAGCTCTACATAACATATACAGTACCCATCTTTGAATATACANGCAGCATGAATAAATATTACACCCTAACAGTCAATCACACAATGCCAATTCCATACTCATGTGATCATGACAAAAGATAACTCCATACATAAATAACCACAAATGTGCTACGATTAAAACATTCCCCCAAAATACTCAAATTCACCTCACTCAAAAAAACATGTTCACTGTATGACTGATATCACAAAACAACTTCTCACTTCTTCAGAACTCACATTAATACGCAACGAATAACAAACAAATGAATAACCAATCTAACTGCAAACTAAACGTAAATGATCTATCAATTAAGGCGAATAAACAATCCAATGAAAAAATTTCAAAAAACCACTCAAGAAAGAGTGAATGATAATCAGCAAAATAAGCAAAATCGCGCACCTTACGGAAGAGTGTATTGAGGCAGTGAACTTTTTGTTTCTCTTGAACATATGCGTAAAATTGTGTCACACCGAGCAGTGTTAACTCTTCCATTAGATTGATCTCATAAGGATTCTTCATGTGTCTCTGCATGAACGTCGCAACTGTGAGTGGGAATGTCGCCGAATAGAGCATTATCTGCCGTTCGGGTGGCAGAAATTTGATGACGCGATCGAGAATGCCTTGGAAGTCTTGCGATAACAACTTGTCAGCCTCATCCAAAATCAGCGTTATACAATGCGACATATCTGCTACACCCTAAAAATATTTCCATTACCAATACTAATACTCACGGCAATAATATTTAAACTATTTCATTATGGTTATGAAGATTTATCAATGATGATAAATCTTCGTAATCATGACGAAAGTAACATTAAATTTAGAATCAAAAATCATTCACGACGAGAATAATATCAGGTAACTTCAGAACCATCAACAGAAAGTGATCTATTCCTTCAGTGAAAGCAACGATGAATCCAAACAAACAAAATCACTACTAACTTTATCCATAAGATCAAGAATTCGTCCCGGAGTCGCCACCACCAAATGCACAACACCATTCAAACGCAATATATCATCACGAAGATCCGTCCCACCAGTCGTCACCATAACCTTCAAATGCAACAAACTCAACTCAAAAACTATATTCACTGCACGTCAAACTATATTCCTCATCGATATGAATAAGCGAACGCCAAAAACTGCACATCTCTTCCAACGTAAAGGCTTCTAACAGTTCAGCCAAATCACCGAATAATTTCTCCAATCTCAAATCTCAAATGACAACATTTCATTGATCTCTTCACGTTCAGGCAATACTGCACTCACCTTAAACTTCAGATGTTTGCTGAGTTCCACACAAATTTGTGACGTTTGCAAAGCCAACTCCCTCGTTGGCACAATAATCAACGCTTGTATTCTCTTCAGCTCCGGATCAATCTTCTCAATGCATGGTATGCAGTAGGCACCCGTCTTTCCAGTTCCATTCTTTGCACGTGCCAATATATCCTGTCCTAAAATGAATAAAACAAGTCATTAACACACTTATTTCGCGATGATCTACTTCATGTCGAAAAATATTTTGAAATGTATTCGATTAAAAAAATACTGCACAATATCACAGTAAAAGAAGCACACACCCGAAAGAGCAATCGCAATTGACGCCTCTTGGATTGGACTGGGCTTTTCCCAGCCCTTCTCAAAGATACCCATTAGCAGATCACGCTTCAAACAAAAATCCTCGAACTCTATTCCCTTCGTATCTGTTACATCCTGAAAATTTATTTTCATCAACATACAACACGCAAAACATTGGAAACATTTTAAAATCAACTGAAACACTACGAAAACGCACCACCACTCATTTCGATTCACACATTCATTCTGATGTGAGTAATCGAGAAAATGANCGCATATCCTTGGCCGGCTTCTTAATCGTTTCCTTCCATGAATGATCAGAGCTTGATTGTTGCGCTTTGGTTTCACCACTCATTATTGATTATTGATCAATCGATGAACTGATGTGAGCTGATCAGACTTGTTCGAATCGCGGTGCTATTGATTTGGGATGTTCTAGTGACTAATATGATTGCGACTTGTTGAATAGCTGTTGTGATTTATTGAGAATCACTTCAATTATACCGTTTTAGATAAAGAACCTTATCTGCAAGTTACAATATCATTTCACTACATTCAACCAATTTATATCCGCAAAACGTATAAATTGCTCGATTCAATATTCTCAAATTTCTGATGGAATCACGATCGCGAAATCTCTGATATCTAAAAAATCACGAAAGCTTGTAATATCCGACAAAGTTTATAACGAATCTGATAAATGATATCTGATAAATGATATTTATGATATCTGATAAAATCACAGCACTTTACAACAAACAAAAAGAACGACGCT